ACACCTCCTGCATTTTCTTTTCTTTACTGACCCTTCTGTTCTTTTACATTATAGCTTATCCTTTAATGTGACATCATCAAATTGAATCACATCCACATTTTAGTTTATTCGTCTATGCTCATACAAGTGAATGCAGGATTTGACCACAAATACAAGGATGGTTGAAATAACAATTCAGTAACATATGCACAGGCTAACGCCCTGTTAAATACTGTCTGTGCTTCAGGGACTACATGACCCTTTTGCCAGTTTAACTAAGTACTTACAACTACTCTCTCATGATGATTCTATGAGTAGCCAGGCTTACAACAGAAAAAGGTACAAGTAAATTACTTAATATCCCACAACTAACTCGTGGTGTAAGATATTTAAATCAATTATAAGATATCATTACTCTAATTTCTCTGAGATAAAATAAGTTCATTCTCATATCCCTTGATGGTGCAGCATTTGCTCTCCTACATCTACACTTAGAACTTAGTTTCAAACTTTCATGTTTAACCAATCTTGACTTATGTTATTATTTTTGTATCTGATTCAATTGTGCAAATACACTTTTATAAATGATTCATTTTTATACTGACTTATTGCAAGGATAGTATATGACAATGAAAACATCAACTATATCTCTAAAGAACGGAAGACAAGTTCAAAAGACTGTTTTGGATCCTCCATTATTTCTTATTTCTACCTATTGTTTGTTCAACCAGCTTACTCACATGGGTCTTTCCTTGGTACAGTGTCAGGGGGAAGTAAAATGAAAACAAATGTACACATATGAGAGTGTGTGCATGCACTGAGACACGTGCTCATCATACATATGAAAACAAGCAAACACAATCACTTTGTTTGAACCAGACCCATCTCTCAGTACTTGTAGTGATTGTGACTTCCTGATTGAATGGTCAGCGCTACCAATTACATGACATTTGGTTTAGGTTGGTTGGCCAGTTATATCATAAATACTTGTGATGTCATGATCTTGTGTCATAGGCAGCATTTAATTCACAATCCCCAAATAAGTAAGTTTGAAAATTTCTTTTGAGAATAAGCATCTGAAGGCCAGAGTTGAAATTTGAAATATTTGCTTGTTAATATTTTCTAGGTAAAGAAAAGTTGATTCTCCAATGTAGTTTTCCAGAAGAGTAAAACTCCCCTCATCAGGGAGGAAATGTACACAGTGTAAGATCAAAAAGCATGTGTTGCAGCCTCACACTGTTATGAGCATTTGGCAGGGGGAAAAATCCAAAAGAAAATCAACCTCCAAATCACTGTACGTATACCAATTCTAGGGAGTTACATTAAGATGGAGCTCTCAAATGAATTTGCACAAAAGTAAATGTATTGGGTACTTATTGTGTGTTTATTGCAATGCTTATCTTTCCTTTGAACCAAAAAGAAAATGAACTTAATCCTGAGGTAGATTAAGGCACAGTGTAAGGCTTAAATATACTAAGAAATCTTAAATATATACTATCATCTTAAAATAAAGTCCAAACTAAGCACATGGCACGACTGTTGCTTAGAGGGTCCTGCAGAGACCTCTATGGCGATTCCTACTGTGAGGACTTTAACCAAACATCCACTTGAAGTTCTGGCTAGATGCAAACACACCAGGAGTCAGTAGACCTTCCATCTTCCCCTGCCAGGCCTCTCTCCTTATTAAGCCATTTAAAGCCTATCAAACCAAGAGCATCAAGAGTGGAAACACAGCACAAAGGAACAGTGGTTCAGCAGACTACAGCTCAAGCCTCCCCAGCACTCCACGGGGCCCTTTTCACCAAGAACTTCTAAAGAATTTTCATCCTATCATTCTTTTCACTACTTCGACTACTTCTTTCTGAAGTGAATTACTGGGTGCCTTGAAATAGCAATTTAATACTTCTCCCAGAATGAAGCTATTTAAAAGACACAATCCGTCTACACTGTAGCTATTAAACTGGCACACACATTTGCTTTCTCTGAGCACAATTACTTGTGTACAGGTTAAATAGCTTTTGGTGTTAACTGCATTATTCATATCACTAACTTGCATTTTTGGAGTTTAATGCACTCTCTCAACAGGAGAGATCATGTGTCAAGAGATTAAACAGTTCTCTTTAACTCTAGGGGATATCCCAGTAAAAGAGAGAAATGTGTGGCTATTGTTAAAGGTGAACATTTAACTCTCTTTGGAACAACTCTGCTTGAAGTGCATTGATGTTCTCTGTGGTAAAAATTAAGAACTACATACTGTGCATCCACATTAAAAGTTGCTATCAAAAAAAAGTGAGGAGGAGTAAACAGAAACAAAAGGCTACTCAAAAAATGAAGATTTGAAAGGCAGAATAGTTTGAGAGCTTTCATTGCTGTGGATAGAATACTGTGGTATAGTGAGTCTCTTTAATTGCCACCTCTGCTGCAGATAACAGGACTTAAGAACAAAAGTGGGGTCATCTAAAAAGCAGATCTAAACTGGAGATACATAGCAAAGGGTAATATCCAGTTACGCAGAAGCTCTTCCCGGCAAAAGGATGTCAAAATAAATGCAGTTCTGCATCAGGAGTCTCAGCTCCATATTCTCCACATGATGAAAAGAACTTGATAATAAAAGACAGGTGACATCATCCAAAAACTATGGGAAAACCTGGCAGTTATCACGCTTTGCTACTTAATTCAACATAATCTATGCACATAGATTTACATTTGCTTCCCCTACAGACCACTGACTAAGGAATCAAGGACAGGACTCTTTGGCTAGAGAACTATGGTCACAGGTGCCATGGCTGGCTACATACTTTCCCACAGCAGGAGCATAAGTAAGCTCACCTCTACGAATGCAACTGTTCTCACAAGCCTGTTCAGCTGAGGCTCTAGCTTGCTCAGTAACCAGATGCTTACAAAAGCTCTTGAAGATTGCAGAGAACAGCCTTCTGTTAGAAAACATTAGAACCTACTCTCTTCTTGCAAGATGATATTGTGCGAGCACCATACTCATTTAAAATTTCCTCATGGTCACAAAATACCCTGGGTCTCCAATGAAAGCAGTGGCCACGGAATAGTCGCACTGATCAGATGAGTCGCTGATTGGGAAGGTGCCATTGTTTTATCCCTAGGAAGCATGTCACGAAAACTCAGTAACTGAGAGTTGATTTGAAGAAGAACCTGTCATCACAATTTTCACATATGATGAACATTTTTGGAAGTTTTATACCTAAAATTACCCAAGGGTGATTACTCTAAGTTTTGGTCTCATGAGCGTGTTGACCATTTTAAAGAATTTATCCTCATACATATTGACATTTTGATTTAAATGATGCGATGGTCCTTAGTTCTCATCCTCTATAACCAACATTAAAACTTGAGAAGTCACTATAGAGCTTTCTGCACACACTGTAATTACAGTGTTTAAAAAAACAACTAAAGTTATATTTACAACAGGGGGGGTTTTCACTGTCTTTCTAACTACTCTGATGTGTTTTCATTATTTCATTTTTTACTACTTTGTATATATGTTAGCTAGCAACTACTTCTACTTCAGTGCCCAGACTCTGAAAATCCCCCATCTTTAGAAATATCCATACATATGACTAACCCATAATGCAAGAATTCGGAATGAATGTCAGGAAGCTTCAAAGAATACTTGGGATACAAAATTTGCATTATGAGCTGTTTAGAGCTTAGCAGAAATAATAAAACGTCCTCAATAATTGGAACATGCTAATATGACTCTGGGGAGCAAACTGGTTTTCTTTAAAGTCATTTGAATTTTAAGAAACCAAGTGGCAAGCAAACCTTAGAGGAAATGAATATTATAACTCACATTACCTTTGAAACTAGGCAGGTCACCTGGGCTTCCCAGTGCAGGGAAAGACTACATGTAGAAATGATTGGAGCAAACCCAGGAGCCCCACACTCAAAAGAAAGTTTGACGACACTGACCGGGATGTGGTGTATAGACAAAGAATGCACACCCGATTTTTACTGTCCTAAATCCTCAGTGACAATGAGATGCCCTCCTCCTTCTCAATTTCAGAAGTAGATCAAACCAGAACCCTCACTCCCTGTCCTGTCACATGCACACTCAGATGTTTCTGCCCCTGTGAATTTGAAGGGAAGCTCATCCTGTGTGGGTCATTTTATTTTATAGTAGCCAAGGGAATGAAGTTTGTGCCAATGTGATACTTAGGGCCACACAGAATAAAGGCAGCCCCGGGCAAGGAAACAGCCCTGCTTTGTGCTGCTCTTGTGGAAGGAAGCAAGTCCAATCACCAACTTTGGGACTTGACCAACAGCGGGGAGTCACAAAACTCTCAATCACTGCATTTTAAACCTTCACTAAAAATAGCTCTTCTGTGTTTGGGTTTAAAGTCCCATCCACAGCCAGTGATGGAGCACAGTGCCTAATTGTTTCCGACTAGGGTCCCTGCATGGGCACTCTGAAACTGTCTTCGAACTTTTCATCGGTTTGTGTGCTCTCTGATTAGACCTGTGCATCAGAGAGCCACGAGAAAATGCAAAGAACCCAGACCGCTAAGGCTACTCGGGATAAAGGCCGTCATGCTTAGTTCAGGAACTTTTGTATTAGGGTTAGAATCGTCCAGGGTTAAACTGTTTACCCTGGATCTCTGCACCTTAAATCAGACAAGCTTGGAGCAGATGGGGCGCCGAGACCATTCACACAGTTTCCATGAAGGACACTGTCTGGCGACCAGTCTCTCCTCTATTTTCTTCATGTATATCGATCTATTTGCCATCCACATGGTATCCATTTGCTATTATCAGAGCTAGAAGGAAACAATCCCTTCCCCCCTGTCATAAGAGCAGTCCTAGGACTTTGTTCAAGGAACTGGCTAACTAGAGAAAAGGTTTGTTCTCCCCGAAGGATGTCAGAGCCTAATGCCTAGAGAGACCTGCCAACTAGGCAGGAGAGACAAGTGCTTGTCCTTGGCGCCCACTGGCGACCTGCCACCTCCCCCAGCCCCGCTCCTTGCCCGGGTCCCTGGCGCCCCTGGACTTACCTGCTGCTGAGGACCAGCGCTGGCAGCAGCGGTAGCAAGTAGTGCGCTGGGCTGAATTTCATCCTGTCGCCGGCCGGGGTCCTCCTTCCCTCGCTGCCTGCGCTTTCTCTCCTCTTTGGGGTCCTGTCGCTGCTTGGTGCCTAGCTCTGTCCCTGGCCAAAGATGAGCTCTCTCCCGCGACCGACCGACGGAGATGGACACACGGACTGACGATTCGCCAAGGCGGGCGCTGGGATGCTCGGAGTGAGCTCCGGGAGTGATGTCACCAGCGAGGCGAGCCCTGCCCGGGATCGCTGGGCGCCGCCGCGCTCCAGCCTGGAGGCGCGTGGTCACTCGCGCTGGAGGCAGCGGGCACGGGCGGGGGTGCTCGGGTGCCCGGGCGGTGCCCCAGCCAGGGCGGGTCGCGGAGTCCCACTCCTCCCGAGGCTGGC